TTTCTAGGAAGTACCAACACATTGTAATCAATTGAACTAGACTTAATTGATTACAACATAGTTTTTTATTTATGAAAAATTGTTATTCTTTTTAGTTGCTTGTTTAGAAACCTCTTGGACCTTTTGGACTTGCTTCACATGACTCTCTAGACACATCAAAGCATAAATTCCCAAGTCTATTTCATTGGATTTACTTTGATGTCTGGCACTCTTTGTGAAGAGACAAAACATTTCTTCTTTGCATCTTCAAACACTTGGAGTCCCCTTCTTTTAAAACCAACTATCTTCACTCTTTTAGCTTTGAACATGACATGTCAAACTTTAGTATGCAACACATATTTCAACTATTGTGTTGCAGAGAATTTTTGAGAGATGTGCTTGAATCATTCTTAAGCTTTAGTCATGTCAAGCCCTTAAATTCTTAAAAAACACATATTTTGGCATTTGCATTCTTCTCCCCCCTTTTGGAATTTTAAAGCAAAAAGGAAATATAAGTGTAACCAAGTTTTAATGAGAGAAAGAACATAGAATATCTAAACCATTAAGACAAACACAACAAATTAAAAAAACGAATATATTTTATTCATATTTTAGCAAAATACATAACAAATTTAAAAAAAATAGTCAATTAATTGAACAAAAAAAAACATTAATCAAAGTTGCAGAAAAAATTAAAAACTAGCTTATGCAAAGAAGATAGAGGACTAGATAATGATAAAGTTGTTGAACGCTATCAAATAAAACTAGGTTTTCCCTCAAAAAATTATTTGGAGTATAGGGAACAACCTGGGTCATCTCTGCAAAAGACATAATTCATAGGAACTTGAATTTTATTAAGAATTAAATAAGAGAATTTTTATCGAACACTTTATGTTCAGTAATTATAAACTAAAATTTAAACTCTACAGAATCATGAATTTGAAAATCCAATCAGATAAAACATCGATTCAAGTTCTAATTATTACAGTATAAAAAAAATATAATTCAAATTCCAAAATTTAATGTAAGAAAAATCTATTTCGTATTATTCCAATCCGAATTGAATCCAATTCGGTGTTCTAAAGTTAATTCGAATTAATTCTATTCTTTAATTAATCAAAAATGAAATCCATAATCATGAATTTAGTTTGAAATTAATTGAAGAAGTGAAAAGAAGAGAAAAGAGGAATTCATATTTGAGAGGATTTTACCGCATAATCAAAAAATTGAATCGATTAAGAGAACCTAGCCGCACATCTATATCATTGTCCACACACAAATTGTACACAACAAGTCTCACAAAACCTACTAATAGAGAAGTATAGTGGGTCTAATATGAGTACTTAAAGACCCAATGTAACGCTAAGGAAATACCGAGCTATTTGGTAGATATACTCTATATATATATATGTGTATGTATGTATGCATGTATGTATATGTTGTTTATATGGATTTGGATTGGATTATGGAGATGTGGATTTGAAATGTACTTACCTCTGTGCATGTTGTATGTTGATGTGGTTTTGATTAGTTGTTTAAGCATGGTAGTGATTTTATAGTATGAGATGAGAGGTTGATGTTTTGAGAGGTTTATATAGGCATGTGTGTGCATGAATTTGGTGAATGATGCATTGTACACCATTATACTGAATTGGTACTAAGAGGGAAGAAGACTGATCACCTTCCTTCTCATCTTAGTTAAGTGAAGTATTATGGCATGCAACTCATTATTCCAAGCATATGTATCTGAAAGTGATGTTTGTTTGTGTGTTAATACATGTTGCATTTCATATGGTAGTGAGTTGTGCGTTTTGCATGGAAAGGAATAGGATGGGTAGGAGATTGAAGGATAGGAACATAAGATAAATCCGGTCTTTTTGAGTGAATTTGAGGTTGTTTTAGAGCTTAGGGAGTTGAAATACTTCAAGGAATAGAATATTTGAGGTGAATAGTAGCTAATAGTGAAATTTGGAAATTTCGAAAAATGGCTATATATAGGGACTTAGGACCGGAGGGTCTCATTTGTCAGACAGGGATAGTTCTAGAAAGAGTAAATAGAGAGACGGGCTACGGTCCAGAGGGAAGCTGAGGACACATTTGGGAAGCTTATCAAGTCAGGATCAATCTTCACAACTAGAGTATTAAGAGATTTAGCCTCTAGAAGCTTGAAAAGTGAGATTGAAGTTTGAGTTGGGATTTGAGGGTTTTGTCCAAATCGTGCATTTATGAGGTTTCTAAGGTAAGGGTAGTACTTATAAGACTTAATCTAGTATGTATGGGTTTGAAATATCATATTAATTCCATGCTTTATGCCTGATTAAGGATGGATTGAGGGGAAAGGCTTTTGGTTGGGGTTTCTTCACGATTTCCATGGATTAATGGTTAATACTTGATTTTATTGCTTAAAATGTTGTTTTTGGATATTGTTTATGCTTTATAATGGTTCAAACGCATGTAATTTGGATTGGATTCATGATTGGAAGGAATTTTCAAGGTTTTCGAGGGTTTTCTGGTTGTAAATGCGCTGGGTGCAGTTCTTGGCGTCGGGCATAAATTCATCAGAGACTATCATTGCCAAATCATGTCGGGCGCGAGGTTAGTCGCGCCGAGCGCAATTTAAAATGAGAATCCCTGGGTGAATCACGCCGAGCGTGGGGAGAATCATGTCGGGCGCACTATCAGACGTGGTCCTTGTGTTTTCGTTACTGATATTGCGTCGGGCGCAATGAATCTGTAGGTCTCTGTTTGAGTTTTGCACCGGGCGGGATATTAGTGAGCCTGGCGTGAGTATGTTGGTCTTTAAGTCTTCATTAAAGTTGTAGCCTTGAATGTTAGCTTTCCAATGGCGTTGGAATCACCCAAAAAGGAGGTCTAGAACTCCAGATATTACTATTTTAGTGAACAGGGGTCAAGCTGCCAACATTGGTTATAGCTGTTGCGGTTTTTAGAATTTTTAACAAGTAGATGATGTTCACTCTCCTAAGCTTTGACAGCCTAGAATTTATCTTTATGCCTATTTTTTCCTTGTCTTTGATTTTCCATTTTTACCCTTGTATTTTGGGGTATCTTAGACATAGGATCTATTTTACTTGTATTTCCAATTTTACCCTTGAAATAATTTTGACAAGAGTAACAGAAATAGCTTCATCTCTTCTAGACGTGATGCTATGAAAAATATAACACAAATAGATTACAAAGAACTATACATGAAACTTACAATGAAGATCTTCTTTGTAGTGCTTCAGCTTTGTTCTTGGAGCTTTTGATCAATTTGAACTGCTCAGTGAATGTTTGAGTTTTTATGTACAACGCCTTTTCTTCATATAAGTGTTCTCGAATTCTCTGTGTGTAGTACAATGGCTTGATCCTTATATAGTAGCATCATATAAGATGACCATTATAGCAACACTAGATTTAAACATTCAAAAATTCTTCAAGAGTTGTTTTGTCTATCTTCTTTGCTAATCTTAGAGATTACTGTTGAAGAATTAAATGCTTATCAGTGAGACATACATTTCTTATTTGATCTAGGTAGCCATTTATCATCATTTCCTTCCATTTTGAGTGTATCAGAGAATTGTCAATGTAAAGCAGTTGGCACTAGTGCAGAGTAGTCCTTTTTAATATCTTTTTTTGTAATAAATGGGATCTTGCATTTTAGCTATTAACGAACATTTTGTCTTGTTCCTCTTTAATGCACTTTGAGACTTTTAAAGTTCTCTTTTGTTCAATCAATCGAGGAATAATATATTAAAAGAAGTTATAATGTTAGTCTTATATAATAGTGTATAGACAGACTATATGCTTCGTCTAATTTCTTTCATCTTATAGATGATATGTATCTTCTTCACATTTCGTCTTATATGTTCTGTTTTTTTTAAGAATGTTGAGTTTTGCTTAAAGAAAATCTTTTTTTCTTGTCATCATTAAAACTTAAAGGGTTGTCTATTATTTTAAAGCAAGATTTTTTATTTAACACTTTTAAAACCAAAGAATTGCAAAATTGTAATCAAACACAACATGAACTTAAAGGAGAAAAGGTGCAAAATTTTAGACGAAAAAAAATGGCATGAAATTGATATAGGCATCACACTCCCAAGGTTGGATGATAAGCCTTGAGATTAAACACAGAAAGAGTTAATTCTTTTGATAAATCTCAATTTCTGGATTAGCAAGAACCCAAAGAGAAAACGAGCTTCCCAATAGTATTTCTAAAAAAAATGATCTAATCCATTTCTCCCTAGTTGGGTGCTATCATGATGGAAGACCATCCATGGAGCTTCATGTGAGACCCATCACTAAGCCAATGGCTAAGACAGTGGAAGAGGATAGGGAAGTCAAAACCTTAGAAGACATGCTTCTCAAGATTAAAATACACTAATCACTCTCCTAAGCTTTGATAGCCTAGAATTTATCTTTATGCCTATTTTTCCCTTGTCTTTGATTTTCCATTTTTACCCTTGTATTTTGGGGTATCTTAGACATAGGATCTATTTTACTTGTATTTCTAATTTTACCCTTATATTTTGGGGTATTTTAGTCATAAGATTTATTTTCTTTTATATTTCCCATTTTACCCTTTTATTATGGGGTGCTTTAGATCATAGGTTTTTATTTTTGGGCTAAGGTATTTGATTAGGGTGGGAACAAAGAAATATTTTCCAGATAGCGCTAGATATGCTAAGGAAGCTAAATTTTTTAGATTGCAGCAAGGGAATATGTCAGTACAAGAGTATGTGGTCAAGTTTTAACACTTGGCTAGGTACTATTCTCAAGCTATCAGTGAAGCTTGGAGATGCAGGAAGTTTAGTGAGGGTTTAAGGTATGAGCTGAAGAAGGCTATTATTCCTATGGGAATTGTGGAGTTCCCAGTTCTGGTTGAAAAGGCCAAAATAGTTGAGAGATTTGAAGGAGGAAATAGAGTGGCAAAGGGTCTAGAGGGATCATCTGGATTTGGAAGGGGAATACATCCCCAAAAGAGACCATCTCAATTTTAGAAGGGGAATGCTAATAAGAAACCAATGGGAACTACTACTACAAGAGCTGTTCAGAGTTTTAGATGTTACAGATGTGGAGGCCCACATATGATAAGGGATTGTCCTACAAAGGACTATGTGTGTTTTAAATGGCAAGGTGGGTCACATGGCTAAGGATTGTAATGTAAGAAATACTCAAGCTAGAGGAAACCAGAAAGTGGATCGGCTTATGCAGCAGGTCGTGTTTTTGCTTTAACAGGTGTTGAAGCTGAAATGTCATCTAAGCTGGTAAAGGGAAAGGGCAAAGCTGATGGTAATGATATTTCTATTCTATTTGATTCTGGTGCTTCACATTCTTTTAGTTCTTATGAATGTGTGGCAAGGTTAAATTTGGTTGTGAATTCCTTGTGTGTGGATCTAGTCGTTTCTACCCTAGCTTCAGGGTCTGTTTTGACTTCTGAGGTTTGTTTAAGATGTCCAGTGGAGGTGGAAGGGCGTTGTTATAAAGTGAATTTGTTTTGTTTACCTTTATCCGATTTGGATGTGATTTTAGGGATGGATTGGCTTTCTGCCAACAGGATTTTGATAGATTGTTCAGAGAAGAGATTAATCTTTCCTACTGTTGAACAGGAGAGATTTATTTCTAGTGGACATGTGGATGGGTTGTTGAAGGGTGGAGCTCTTGGGTTTATGATCCTATCTTTTATCAATTTAGAGAATGAAAAGTTGTTGAATAGTATTGATGTTGTTAGATATTTCCCAAAGGTTTTTCAGGATGATGTTCTGGGGTTACCACCAAAACGATAGTTGGAGTTTAGTATTGATCTTATACCAGGGGCGGGACCAGTGTCTATTTCTCCTTATAGAATGGCACCAACGGAGTTGTCTGAATTGAAGAAGCAGGTTGAGGAACTTTTGGAGAAGTAGATGATCTGACCTAGTGTGTCTCCGTGGGGAGCACCCGTGTTATTGGTAAAGAATAAGGATGGTGGTGTGAGATTATGTGTGGATTACAGGCAGTTAAATAAATTGACAATCAAGAATAAGTATCCATTGCCAAGGATAGAAGATTTGATGGATCAGTTGAGGGGAGCTTCTGTTTTCTCCAAGATCGATTTGAGGTCTGGGTATCACCAGATTCGGGTAAAGGAGGAGGACATACCAAAGACTGCTTTCAGGACTCGATGATGGAGGACCATCGATGGAGCTTCATGTGAGACCCATCACTAAGCCAATGGCTAAGAGAGTGGAAGAGGATAGGGAAGTCAAAACCTTAGAAGACATGCTTCTCAAGATTAAAATATACTAATCACTCTCCTAAGCTTTGACAGCCTAGAATTTATCTTTATGCCTATTTTTTCCTTGTCTTTGATTTTCCATTTTTACCCTTGTATTTTGGGGTATCTTAGACATAGGATCTATTTTACTTGTATTTCCAATTTTACCCTTGTATTTTGGGGTATTTTAGTCATAGGATTTATTTTCTTTTATATTTCCCATTTTACCCTTTTATTATGGGGTGCTTTAGATCATAGGTTTTTATTTTTGGGCTAAGGTATTTGATTAGGGTGGGAACAAAACCTAGACATATTTTTTGTGGCTCTTGGACCTATTTTTGGTGTTAGAAAGGCTTAGGCCCAAGTGGAGGGCAAAGGTTGCATGGTCTTATCATGCACCTAGATGTAGCCTAACTAATCCCAAAGATTCCATCCTTGGCCACCAAGTTGCATCTAGGGTTCATTTGCATTTCATTTGGTGTGCATTTGGCTTGTGAATTTTGTCCATGCACTCTCCAAATGCAACCCTAGATGCCTCCCACTCCTATAAATACCCTAGGCTATGCATCATGTAAATACTTTGGAATATATGAATTTGAGTGAGCATTTTTGCCTCAAATCCTCTCCTTAGTCACTAGGTCTTCACGGCCTACCTCTCCTATCTCCTCCCTAGAATGAGTTTAGGGTTTCCTTGAGTGGCCTTCATCCCCACTTGATGAAAGCCAACTAGAACACCCAAAAACACTATCCTCCCAACCTTTCTCCTATTCGCCCAAGACTCCACCCTTCACACCCACCATCACTTAGCCTCACCCTTGAAGGAACGTCCACCCTCTATGGTCACCATCTTGGCCTTGGCAAGGAGCTCCTCTTCACCATTGAACGTTTGGTCATCCCTTTGGTGGAAGGAGTCCATCATTTGGTATCAAGAGCTTAGGTTATCTTCAAGGGTAACTAGCTTCCTTTCCATTTCTTTGAGTCTTTTCTTTTTTTGGAGTCTTGATTTGCGTCATCTTTGAGTTCATTGTCATCCATGAAAACCTTGTTAAAAATGTCTTCTTATGTTGCTCCATGGTTCATTGCTTATTCATGAGCCTCCTTTTGTGCTTTAGGGTTTTTCTTGAGTTTTAGGTTCTTGTGTGCCATTTTAGTTTTTACTCTTGTTGCTAGAAAAATATATTATGAACATCAAGAACA